CCCAACAACGTATCAACACTGGCCGCTACAACCTTCGTCGCCGGGACGTCCACTTCCAGCCCGGAGACAGGGTGTGGGTGTGGACACCGATCCGCCGCCGTGGTCTCAGCGAGAAACTCCTGAAGCGCTACTTTGGACCCTACGAAGTGCTTCGTCGACTCGGGGATCTGAACTACGAGCTGATGCCCGACGGAACAAGGACTTCATCACGCCGCCCTCCACGACCAGAAGTCGTCCACGTCGTGCGCATGAAGCCGTACTACGCTCGATAGGACAGTGGACCTTACGTATTCCAAATGACTCTTTAGTTTACCGTTCTTTTTATTTGCTTTGTTTTGTTTTTGGGTTGCATCGGGACGATGCACTTTTTAAAGGGGGGGATAATGCCGCACGCAGGGTCACGGACTTCTAGAACTTTCTCGTTTATTCTTGCTCCGGACATAACTTCTATTGTCTATCCCTGCTAGTGTTGTTCTAGAAAGTGCGTGTTCATCCTCGCCCCGAGCGCGCTACGCCCGAACCTTCTCCGCCGAATCTTCGAGATAGTGACTCACTCTAGATAAGACGCCGCTCGCGACCTTGTCGAGTCAGTCTCGCCCCAGCGCTCGATCCTGCGGTTTCGCCGACATCGACGCCCGCGACGCTCTGCTCTTATCTTCTGTTTCCTTTTTATTTCTTGGGCACAAGTTCGCCCGATTAAACGTTTTAGTTTCCTCAGTTATTCTTTGTTTCCTCTTTTGTTCCTTCGTGACAATATACCCCTTATCTTAGTGTGCGGTGCATTTGTAGCATCTAGAATGCCTGTTCCGTTCGTGGTTACGCCATGCATTTTTCTCGGCGACCCTGAGGTTGCTGTACATTTGGTAGCAAAAAGAATATCAAAAACATATAAAACACCTCTTAGGGAAGATGGTCCGGAGGTATTTCTTTTGAAATGTGCATGCGGTTCCCGAAAATTTTATGTGTCATGTTTCTCAACTACGTGCCGTAGCGGTTTCCCCTGTAAATCTTTGTCAAGTTGTAAATAGTGTAACATGGTAAAGGAACTCAAAATAATTCATACAGACATTTGCTTTGAAATACGAGTAAAGTGGTCGAAGGCCCAATTCTACGGATTTCAGCCTAAAATATAATTAGTTGATATCGAGTGGGGATGCTCAAAAATTAAAATTTCTGATAATAGATTCATTATTGCTCTCAATTTGTAATCTTAATTACAAATTGAATGTATTAAAAATACGTTCATACTTAAAATAGTATTTTTTAAGTTATAATTATTTGCAAATAGTCTAAACGGTTCAGCGCTGCAAGTTTCTCTTAAAGGGATTGTCCGGTCGAAACCGGAAGTACTTAAGTTTTTGCGCTCGTTACATCGAGGGAGCCTTCATGTAAACAAACAACATTTTTATTTTGATATATGATCTGCCGTTATTAACTAAACCTTTCATGAGCGTATGTACGAAACTGCACCCCGAATTTCGCCAGTGTCAATGGCTGACATCCGTAGCTGCTGCGTGACGTCACAAAACGCAAAGGTTTGTCGGATGGTCGGGAGAACAACTTACAAGCGTTGGTCGATGGGTGTATTGTATTTGTTTCGAATTATATAGTCTCCTAGGCCAGAGGTTCTCAAATGGGGGTTCGCGAAGGCCTTCTAGGGATCCGCGAAGGCCTGCCTTATCAGTCGAGCCCGGCAATAAAAGTTGTCTTCTTTTTTTTTCTTTTCAGGTCGAAAAGAAATGTTTTAGTTTTCGGGCGAGTTTTTTCGTATGAAGGTCAATAAGGGAGGTCTACTTCACACTACCCCTTAGTTATATTATTTAACTTATACCTTTCCTCTCCTCTCACCACGAACGGGGTCCTCCATCATCTCCGCCGATCCACAAGGGGTCCGCGAAATATCGATGGTTGAGAACCACTGTCCTAGGCTTTACACTACTGAAACACAGTTCTTTTATTGCAGTTCCCAAGCATGTGCAAAAAAAAAAAGTCACGCCTTTTAGCAGGATATTACTCGAAAACGGCCATAAGCTTCGAGCAAACGTATGCCGTTTCGCGCAAACACAACTGCGACGGCCATCGATCGAATTAGGAGCGCTTGCAAAGCAAAGGTCGCCTCTGAAGTGGCAACTAGGTACACGAAGCGGTATCTGGGTACACACATCGGCGGATCCACTGGATCGGTGATGAGGCTGCGGGTCTTTCCCTCAGAGGCGATGACCGCGGGTCGAAGACAACCGGCGAATCCTTCAAATGCATGTCGTCACTCGACTTGGACGAGTTTGGTGAATCGTAGCCACACTCTATTTTCACATGCGGGTCAAACAGAATTTGGCTCCACGCGTGCTAAATACAACTTCTGGTATCGTTTCCAGGTGGTCTACCTGTTGGTTTCGGTTTCGCTGCATAAACAAATTGATTGATCCGATTTGGGCGAGGAGTGGATGGACGTAGTTTAATATCGTTGGCACAGCATCACGCCTCAGCTTACGAGCCTTCTGTCCGCTTAGAGCTCAGCTCGTAGCTCTCTTATGTGCTGCCTAAACTAGAGCACTGCACGGGCCGGAATTTTTAGGCCCGGCCCGACCCGGCCCGGTAGAGACACGACCCGGGCTCGGCCCGAGCCCGACAGAATTTTTAATTTCTAGGCCCCGCCCGACCCGGCCCGGAAGAGACACGGCCCGGGCTCGGCCCGAGCCCGACAGAATTTTTAATTTCTAGGCCCCGCCCGACCCGGCCCGATGGCTGTAGCCCGAAACAACCAATTACCGTTTAAACCTGTCCCGTTTCGACCCGTTCTCGAAACGAGCTCCCCATTTGAACCCGTCCTGTTTCGACCCATTCTTTAAACGCCCTTCCCATATGAACCCGTCTCGTTTCGACCAGTTCCCTAAACGCCCTTCTCGTTTGAATTTGTCCTGTTTCGACCCATTCCCTGAGCGTCCTTCTTATTTGAACCAGTTTCCGAAACACTCTTTGCGTTTCAACGCGTCCCGTTTCAACCTACTTTTATAAGGCCCTGCACATCGCAACCTCTTCGCAAAAAGTCTCCATCGTTCTAAGCCTGGTCTGCGCACCTTTTCTGTTTAAGAATATGTTCTGAATTAGCTTTACATGTCAACGCGTTCTTAAAATATACAACCCTTTCAGGCAAGCTTAAGTTTAATATATTCCTACTTAACCTCTTAAAACGTTTTTTTTTTCAAGATGGTTCCCAAAACGTGCAAGCGCGGAACGGACTATGTACACTGCGCGACACTGATACCGCGAACACGACGTTGGCTCTTTTTTCGAATTTTACTTCGAAATGGTGTTAGTAGGCACCAAAGTATACCGCTTAGGTCTGTAGCTTAGATGAGCACTTCTAAAGACACTAATAGTTTTGAAAACAGCGTTTTGATTCTATGAGATAAACATAAAAACACGACGATCGCTTGTTCGCGCTAATATAGTGTCGCGCTCTGTGCAATAAGTGAGTCTTAGAATAACGTACTCAAGCACTTTGGGCAAGCTAAAATTAGCATCGCCATAGGTTTTACATCTCAACGCTATTTTTACGGTACCCAAAGCGCTCGCGTACGTTTTTCTAAACCTTCCTAATAGTGAACTAGATATTTTTGAGAGCGATGAATCAGACAGGTTGACAAGCATATGACTGGGACTTTATTTTGTTTACAATTTATAACACTGAACCCTCGCTCACACGGAAAAAGCTTGAAGGCTTTCTAGCTTCAAGACGTCTTTTAGTTATTATTTTTAACGACGCTGTAGTGAATTTGCACTTCGCTTTTTTTTGTATTTAATGAACCTAAAAGATTAACAACAATCTATGATTTACGGCACAAGATTGACCAGGCACGGCCCAGGCACGGCCCGGGCCGGACCGGACCGGACCGGACCGGCGCGGCCTGAGAACTTTTTTGTTCAAGCCCGAGCCCGGCCCGGGGCCCGAGAAAATACGTGCTACCCGGCCCGGGCACGGCCCGCGGGCCGGGCTCGGGCTTTTGGGCTGGCCCGGGCCCATGCAGTGCTCTAGCCTAAACGCTGCCTAAGCGGGATCTTGATCTTGACGGGAACCCAGTCCCTACGCCCGGCGACGATCCATCTTGCTCGTCACCGCACGTCTTGCGGAGAAGTGTGGAACGTCATGTCTTGGCTCGCGTGTGCTGCCCGGTAATTGTGGCACCCAACCGCGCAACAAAAATCTCACCTAACCACGAAACAAGTCGAGCACAACAACAAAAACGAAGCAAGCTGTGGCGTTCACTCGCAGGTAAACGACGAGACAGAAATGCTCGCTTTGTGTTGTGTGGTGTCAGAGCTCCCATGTTGCCACCGAAAACAGCGTTTACGCTAGAGTGCGATTGGGGCAGTATAAATTCAATTACTCATGCAGAGGGGCATATAAAATTCAGATATTGCACGTACGATGCTTGTCGAGGCAATAGCAATGATATTCAATTGTTTTCTCGAATACAAAATTTGACCGGACAATCCCTTTAAAGGGGCACTAAAGATGTTTCTGGGATAGTCCACTCTTGGTCATGCGTTATTCTAGAGGCTCTAAGCATCCCAAGAATCTAAACATTATAATCCTGCGCCACCGATTTTCGTATTAAAATGGGATAATCAGTTTTTCTGCGTTATATCACAGAACCCGAACCGTTGCCAAACAACGAACGGCGCTTGTCAGCCAATCAAGGTGCGGTTTCTTGCGTCGAGTGATCCGAATGCGAGCTGCTTCTCGCATTGTTTTGCCAGCACTCCTTACTCAGGTGCACGAAGTGGAGATTGCGGGGCCTGGGAGAGCTTCCAAAACTAGCCCAGAGTTCGTTCGAAAGAGGGTTACCGGATGCTGCTAAATTGTTTTTAGTGGTCGGAGGCCCAAACAGTTTGTGTCCCTCTGGCTTCGACCACCTTGTGATAGCATTTCGGTCTTCATAGAAATTATGTCTTATGGGTGCTGTCACTTTCAACTCCAAATTCCTTATCTCTTTCAGGCTTCTTTGGGCACTATGTGGACACAACCTGCACTGACGAGACAACGCGCAAGGTTCGCAAGGCAAGGATGAACAAGCTTCTGGCTAGGAAGATTCCTGATTTAAATTGAGAGGTTTGCGTGAATGTGAGATTTGTATGAATGGGAGAATAAACTGTATTATCTTAAATAAGCTACACCGTGTACTCTCATTTGGCAAGCCATGTAATGCAGTAGGTAAATAGCATGCCGATATAACTAAAACTAATAGGCTACACCAATACAACTAATAGACTAATACAACTAATAGACTAATAGAACTAATAGACTAATACAACTAATAGACTAATATAACTAATAGGCTAATACAACTAATACAAAGTGTCAATAAACCGATAGGCTATTAGAAATTTCCATCAGAATTTTTACTCTGGGCCCATTACGCATGCGGATGCAACCCCTCTATTCACCTCAAGTGTGGTCAGTGGCGGACCTCACTGACGCCCAGGCCAGCCCCGCAACACAAATCACGTCGAGGCTTGGCATCGCCGAATAAACAGCCTAGTCGGCGTGAGCCGCCTGGGAGTTTTCCGGCTCATCGACGCCCTCCGCCAAGAGCAGAAGGAGATAAATCTGACTGCAGAAGCATTGCTTCGAGGCCAGCCTGTCCCACCGTGATGTAAAGCTTTCAGAAGAGAGAGGCGGCCCTCAAGAAATTGGTGGAGGAACGCGCAAGGATGACGACGGAACACTTCCTGAGGGGTGTCGCTCACCACCTGCTCTAATATGTTCATGTAGCATACAGGACATTTATATCTTTCTATGTTGCTCAGCAAAGCTACTGTTAGAGCTAGTCAGAAATTAATTTTCTAGTCTGTTACTGAATTATTTTCTACTACATATTATTCTATAAGTCACAGATTAGTGTAGTTTGTATGAGGTGTCCCACCTAACTAAGATAAATTGATACACTTCCGAGATATTATACTTAGAGCAAAAGTTCCAATCATAAAGTAGTACAACGCCCTCAGAAACATCCATTTCAGTGGTTTTAGAGCGCAGCTCTTAGGGGCCCGTTCCCGGCTTGAGCGGCGTCGCCGTCGGCGTTGGCGTCGCCGTCGGCGTCGGCGTAACCAAGGTCATCCCAAGGTCACGTGACCCCCAAGGTCACGTGACCCCTCCCAAGGTCATCTCAAGGTCACGTGACCGCGCGTGACCCCCTGAAGGTCACGTGACCCCTAAGGTCACGTGACCTTGGGGGTCACGTGACCCCTCGAGGTCACGTGACCCCTTCTAAGGTCATCTCAAGGTCACGTGACCCCAAGATGACCCCACGTGACCCTTTGAAGGTCACGTGACCCCTCTGAGGTCACGTGACCCCCGAGGTCACGTGGTCTCCTCCCCAAGGTCACGTGACCCCTTCCAAGGTCATCTCAAGGTCACGTGACCCCAAGGTGACCCCCAGGTCACGTGACCCCTCTGAGGTCACGTGACCCCCCCGAGGTCACGTGACCCCTCCAGGTCACGTGGGGGTCACCTTGGGGGTCACGTGACCTTGAGGTGACCCCCAGGTCACGTGACCCCCTCCCCGAAGTCACGTGACACCCCCCCCGAGGTCACGTGACCCCCCCCCCCCGGAGCATACTAAAGAATGAGGGGAGGAGGAGGAGAAGGGGGAGGGGTCTACCCTTAGTACCCTTCACTCCTCCTCCTCAAGAGCTGCGCTCCAATTCGGCGTTACAGGGATTTGTAAACGGCTTTCACTTTTTTAAACAAAAAATCTCTAACCCTGTTCGTCTTCCCGGGCTTTTAAAAAAGTGCTCGAATTCCGAAAAAGAAATGTGCACTGTGCGCTCGTGTGCCAATAAGCGCAACCAAACAAACCACACAAACACCTTGTATTACAGTGCGTATACAACATAATACAATACAAGATGTGTGAGTGCACAGTCACGTGTCTTTTTGAATTTGCAGGCTATTTTCATAACCCCCAAAAACGAGTTGTGTTAAATTTTAGAGCGCAGCTCTTAGGGGCCCGTTTCCGGCTTGAGCGGCGTCGCCGTCGCCGTCGCCGTCGGCGTAACCGCGCGGTGCATCATGGGAAATATCCCATAATGCACCGCGCGAGCCCCCCACCGGGGTCACGTAACTTCGTGGGGAGGCACGTGACCCCCCCCGAGGTCACGTGACCCCCCGAAGTCACGTGACTCCCCTGAGGTCACGTGACCCCCTCCTCGAGGTCACGTAACTCCCCTGAGGTCACGTGACCCCCTCCTCGAGGTCACGTGACCCCCTCCTCGAGGTCACGTGACCCCCCGAGGTCACGTGACCCCCGCCGATGTCGCGTGACCCCCCGATGACGTCATCGACACTGATGACGTCACCGGCATCCACATCGTCATCATCAGTGATGACGATGACGATGCGGATGCCGGTGACGTCATAAGTGATGATGACGATGACGATGTGGATGCTGGTGACGTTATCAGTGATGATGACGATGACGATGTGGATGCCGGTGACGTCATCAGTGATGATGACATCAATGATGATGACGTCATCAGTGACGATGACGATGTGGATGCCGGTGACGTCATCAGTGATGATGACGATGTGGATGCCGGTGACGTCATCAGTGATGACGTCATCAGTGATGATGACGATGCGGATGCCGGTGACGTCATCAGTGATGATGACGATGTGGATGCCGGTGACGTCATCAGTGATGATGACGATGACGATGTGGATGCCGGTGACGTCATCGGTGATGATGACGATGACGATGTGGATGCCGGTGACGTTACCGACATCCGCATCGTCATCGTCATCATCACTGATGACGAAATCAGTGACGTCATTGATGTCGTCACCGGCATCCGCATCGTCATCATCACTGATGACGTCGTCAGCGACGTCACTGATGACGTCACCGACATTCGCATCGTCATCATCACTGGTGAAGTCATCAGTGACGTCACTAATGACGTCATCAGTGACGTCAGTGATGACATCATCGACATTGGGGGTCAGGTGACCCCCCAAGGTCACGTAACCCCCCCTGGTTAGTCTAACCCCCCCCCCCCCCAGCGCCCTTCCCTCCTCCTCCTCAAGAGCTGCGCTCCAATTCGGCGTTACAGGGAGTTGTAAGCGGCTTTCACTTTTTTTCATGAAAACTACTGAATTTAATGTTTCAGAAAACACAAGACAACTTCGTCATTGGAACTTCCACTCTAAATATAATAATTCAAAAGTTCATTAAATAATGTTAATATTTATTCAGTAATATCAAAAGAATAGCTTGACTTTCTCCAAATGTTGTATAAACTTATCCCTTTGGTATAGGCTTCCTAAAATGCATGAAAATTTTTAAACCTTGGCTCAAGTTACGTAGATTACTTTTTATAAAGTAAGAGTAAACACTGTTTATATAATCTAGTCTATGGAATTCTATGTACTAACTTCAGCCAAGTTTTAAAAATATTTTTGTGCATTTCAGGAAGACAATACCAAAGCGATAAGTTTATTCATTACTTGGAGAAAGTCAAGCTATTTTTTTCATTTTGCGTAATTAAATAATTAAGATTATTTATTCGTAGATGCAGAGCGTTTATTGTTCTCAAATGTTATGGAGGTTTAGTGTTTCCACAATAAAGTATTCCACCTTACTCACATTTTCTTGGTTTGCATGGTATCACCTAAAACACCACACCTTCAGCCATCAGACCCATCCATACAGCAAAGACAGTGAATTTGTGATCACATTTCATTTCTCTAAAGTGAAGAAATTCTGAATCCTGCAAGGCAAGAAAATATTTGGTTTATTTACCACAACTGCATAAGCGTTCAGGGGTGCGAGCCAGTGGCTAAGGAGAAGGCACCCATTGCACGAGTACCCACGCAGTTCAAGAAAACAAGAAGCGAATGATATATACTTGGCGTTACCTATTCTGAGCTATGCTGAGGAAGCTATGGGGGCAGGGTAAGGATTACTGTGTGCTGCACCAAGTAGTTTTGGATGGTGCTGCTTATCCTGATGATGATAAATTTTACAACTTCGGATGGGTTCAATTAACTGTGCCAAAGCTGGGAGGCAGATCTCCCAGTTGTAGCACCGCTTGGTAGATGTGTGGTTAATTAATAGTATTAGATAGTTTAAATACATCTACATTGCTTTTTCAAGTGGTGAGAGTATGAGGGATAGTCTTCATATAGTCTCCTGTTACCGAGCCGCTCGTCGCTAAAATTATATGAAAACGAAAGGATACTGACTGATCACAAGAATGGAAGCAGTTTGTTTTTCGTTGCAGCCTTCTTCCTTATTATAAAAAATGACTGTCAAATAGGCGAACTGAAGAGAATTGACGAGTTGGTTTTCGACTCGCTGTACGACAAGACGGTTGTTATGTTGTCATTACGAGTAAAACACAGATGAGAGCGGTGATTTCCAGGTTGTCGTTTTTTTAACTTGAGAGGCACATCAGTTTATTATGTGCTTATTCTCGTGCTAAGTATTTTTTTAGGCTACGTAGTTTGTTCTTGTGGCTCACACAGGCTTCTGAAAGCAATTTAACTGTTAAAGGGATACTACAACGAAATTTGGGCGCTCGTTTTTTGGTCTATATGTGTTCAAAAGAGCAGTATCACATGGAACATACCAATATCTTGTTTAAAAACGTCTTCAAAAGGAATTTTAAAACGAATCAAACGATTAGCAAAGAGCACCTGGTGGATGTCGCTAACGCCTCGTTTGTAATGCTGGTCTAGGAACCTTGACAGCTAGTGACGGAGGTTGTCTCGTCTCCGGCCACGACGAGAGAAGGGGGGAAGGAGGAACTCCCCTCTTCCCGAGAATCCCTTTTGTGTGTCACAGAAGTCGCTATTGTCCCCCTAGAAGATTATAGAAGATTAACCCGTCACTCGAAATTCGTACAAAAGCAGCCGCTTCGGTGGCTGGAACGACTAGGCCATCCTCTCGACGTCAGCCTCGCCGTAGCTTTGCTCGTCTTGAGACGACCTACGTCACGATTGCGTTGGATGACACGTGCTCTAAGCTGGGCCTTTTCCGAGCGCTTGCCAGAGTGGGCCGTTTATAACGAAAAATACAGCCACCAGGATCAAAATAAAATTGTGCGATTGTCATTTACGGATATTGTGGATCATATTCAACCTATTTTTGAACACGACGGG